ATTCTGTTTCGGACTGTTCCGAGCAGCATTTGAAAGTTTAAGATTTCAACCTTTGGTCTAGAGTATCCCTCAATTTGAGGGTCCTAGTCTCAGGCTATAGTTGGACAATCCTACTCCTAGTCCTAGTCTCAGGCTATAGTTGGACAATCCTAGTCTCAGGCTATAGTTGGACAATCCTACTCCTAGTCTCAGGCTATAGTTGGACAATCCTAGTCTCAGGCTATAGTTGGACAGCTCCTAGAAAGAGATTCTAGACTAGATCTGGATTGCTCTTGGTTGGCTTTGGTGGCCTCCCTTCAGCAACCCTCTTGGTACCGCTCTGCTAGAACCACATTGAGTTCTACGTTGGACGGATGCCACGTGGATAGGACTCATGACTCACTTACCATACCATGGTCTGTCTGCAGTGAGACCAAACCTGTAGATAATCTCCCTTCAAAACTTCTGGAGTTGCACATACATTTGAAGATGACTAACACTTGTATCCCATGTAAGTTGCACCTTTTACTATTTGGGCAGGTCCTGTGTAAATCGCTTGATACTAGATCAGGTTCGGTAAGTGCCCCTTAAATAAAATTCTAGAATTTTACCCTGAGGTTGCCCTAACTATAACTTTCACCTTTCTGTGTTTGATTTGCCTGATGGTAAAGTGTAGCCCATACTGTATTTTTCTTGTCACGCACAGGTGTAAATACCAAAAGGTTTTTGGTCATGTTTACTTGAAATTCATATTTATATATGCATTATTTACATTCATTCTTTTGATAGTCAAATATTTATAAATTGGTACAAGCCGTAATGTATACACATTTTTAACAACATCCTGGCTGTCCCTATTCATTATTGTTATTATTTTTTTAATAAAGAAGCCAGATACATTATTGTACCTGATTGGTTGTTTTATTGATAAGCTCTCCAATTGCACAGGTTTTATTTAAGCATCATTGGGTTATCTTCCTAGTTAAGTCACAGTTAACTTGGTGGCGCCCAAAGGTAAGATGTATACAAGGAACCCATGGACCCATGGCCGCCGAACTGATGCTGACTAGCCGTATGCAGTATAATTAGGCAATTGCCAAAATAAGAACGTTATAACAAGTTTATGGTTTTGGAGGGACAACAAAAATATTAAATCCTTTTCTGAAAATGCGGCGCTAGTCTATTTTGAAGAACTTTAGAAGAAATATAAGTCGCCCACTCTCTGGTCGCTGAGGATAAAACACAATAATTATAACTTTAATAAGTAATTCAATTTTATTGTTATTTCAAAGATGTAGAAAATAGAAAACTTGTTCACCTTTTATTGTCATTAAATAATATTGTTGGAAATTTAAATAAATTTACAAAGAATGTATTTTATTTTGTGATATGCAGTCGTAGAAAAAGTATAGTGTGCAACACGTTTGAAATCGGCTCTTTGCACACTCGTGTGACTTATTGCCCAAAGAGCCTTTTTCAAAACTTATTACACAATATACTATTTTGGTGTACAGTTTCATTGAAGTTTCTGATAGTATTGAATTTAAAGAATGGAAAGACACTGATATTTCTTTTACTAGAGCTCGGATTCTGAGCTTCAAAACAATTATCACAACTCACAAAGATAGAATATGGTCTTAAAAACAAAAACACTAGTGATGATATTCTGAACATTAAACTGATAAAACAGTTGTTTGGAGTGATAGCCTATCCTCTTTTGCATCTGATAAGCTTGACTTTGAGAACAGGAAAATTTCTAAATGACTAAGGGCCGAATTTATAGTCGCTCCTTGAGGCTTCCTCAGACCTTAAGGAAGCCTTGAACGTTTAGAATTGACATGACTGTAACTTGTCAAATTGTAGCAAGTGTCCATTCTAATCTCACAACCTTCAAGGAAGAGTCAAGGAACGACTATAAATTCGGCCCTTAAAGCTTAGTCTTGTTGTGCCAATACTGCCAATCCCAAAAGTAAATAAACCAGAGGACGCTTTGGATTTTAGGCAATCAATCTCCTGCCAGCAGTTAGGCAATCTCAATCACGTGATTTTATAATGGCCGTTCGGGTCAAATATTGCGGTGACAGGGGTGACAAGCCGGTGACGTTCATAAGGCTTCACAAAAAAACACAGAATCCGATAATTCAAATCTTGACGTTTGTCCAGAATGTGACAGAATCAATGACATACAGAATAAACAACACAGTGCTTGACCCAATGCGTGACCCGAACTTCCATATTGAATTTCGTTTTTGACAGGTCAGTAGATTGCCTAGTTGACAAAATTATCCAGACTATAGTGAAGTGAGTAATCAAATCAGATAGTATTTTGAAGAAAACCAGTTACTTTACGTGGGGCAGTCTGGATTTCGAGGCTATCACTCGTGTGAATCGGCCGTCCAATACATATGTGCAAAGTGGAGGAAAAAGCTTATTGAAGGAGACAGGTTGGTATTTTAGTGGACCTGAAGCACGCTTTTGAGACAATAGACCGTGGCATTTTGTTGAAAAAATTAGCTGCATATTATAACATAGGAGGGAACGTCCTGAGATGGATTTAGTGACTACTTAAGTGACAAATATAAATAATTAGGTGTCTAGCAAAATTATGAGTAAATTGGGTGTCCCGCAGGGCAGTGTACTGGGTCCGCTCTTGTTTATGATTTATATTAATGACATTTATAGGGTAATGAAAAAATCTTTTGTAAGTTTATTCGCAGACGATGCACTGATTTCTGTTTCTGAAAAGGACTATTAAAAAATTGTTAATGTTCTTAATGATGAGCTCAGTGTTTTGTATGATTGGTTATATGTCAGGACAAATTGAAATTAAATACATCTAAAACAAGCTCTATGGTAATTGGTTCAAAGGCAAACTGTAATGGCCGTTTGCACCGAAAATTTTAAGGAAGGTTTAACGATAATCAATGCTCAAAGTGACATTTATGCATGTAAAAATGTCACTTTAAGCGTTGATTATCTTTAAACCTCCCTTAAAATCGTCGGTGCAATCGGCAATTAATCGTTCAATGACTTAAACTTATCCCTACTATATATGTAGATCTGCCTCAGAGTGAGCGGCTGAAAACAGCGGGTCTGTCCCAGAAAGGGCGGCTGAATCAGAACTCACCAACCCTGTACTTGCCCCCCTGTATATACCATGGCGAATTTTAAAACAAATGAAACTGGTCTCCAGGTAGGTGGGAAATTTATCGACTTCCACACCTGGTCTGCCTCACGAAATCAGGGGGAGGTAAAAATTCGCTCCCAACAAAGATCAAAACCCCACGAAAACGACTAACACAACAAAAATCATAGGAACTGATCCACCTACAATAGGAACATACAATATTAGATTAATGAACACTGACGAAAAGATACATGAACTGGAGGAAGAGCTGACAAGAATAAAGTGGGACATAGTAGGCTTGTCAGAAACTCGAAGAAAAACAAAAAAATCGAATAAAATTGAACTCCGGTAACCTGCTATACTACAAAGGTAATGAAAACAACAGTAACTTTGGAGCAGGATTTATTGTAAATAAAGCGATAAGTAAACACGTTCAAACTATCAAGGGAGTCTCAGATCGGGTTGCTTATCTCGTAGGTACTTAAAATGAAAAGAACATCGCTTAATTGCTTAAAATTATTCAAGTGTACGCTCCCACTTCAACATAGGACGACGAGAGCATCGAAATATTTTATGAAGATATCTCAAAGGCTATGGAAGAACATAAAACTCGCCTTACTCTAGTAATTGGAGATTTCAATGCCAAACTTGGTGAGAAGCTGAATAAAGAAGAGACAAAAATCGGGAACTGTGGGTACGGTGAGAGGAACGATAGGGGCATTACTTCGATGAACTGTCTAGAAGAAAAACATCTATATGCAATGAACTCGTTCTATAAGAAAACACCGCAAAGAAAGTGGACAAGGCTCAGCCCTAATGGAACAACGAGAAATGAAATTGACTACATACTGACCACTGAAAAATGTATTATTGAAGATGTAACAGTCCTGAACAGATTCACCACAGGCAGCGATCACAGAATGATCAGAGCAAAAATACGTATCGATGACAACTTTGAAATGAAGAGAAAAACTCATGGAAACAACGGACAACTAGACATGACCAAACTTGCACAAAATGAAACCATATACAAAGAGAGACTGAAGGAACAACTGACCTAGAACTTGAACAGCGATAATGAAACTATAGATGAAATATACGATACATTAGCGAAAACCATGATTAGGGTAGGAAAAAAAAATCGCACAAGAAGATAAAAAGAAGGAAAATTGCATATCAGAAGAGACAAAGAAACTCATAGAAAAGAGGCGGAAACTGAACAAAGAAGGGAAAAGGAAATCGATAGAATAGATACACAGAAATCAATAAAACCATCAGGAAAATGATAAAAGAAAACAAAAGAAAGAACCAAGAAATAGAAATAGAAAGAGTCATAGAGAATAACAGGAATATGAAATGCCTAAGACAGACACTAGGAAGATACGAAATTAAAAAAAAGACAAGAACGGCGTAGAAACTAATATTAAGGAGGATATCATAAATATCACACAACTCTTTGATACAGAACTATATTAAACAAAAAAGGAATCACTGGAAGAAACCGTAAAACCACTACAAACTAAAATAAAGAGGGTTCTGAAAGAAATGAAAAACAGCAAAGAACCTGGAAAAGACGGAGTCACGGAAAAAATGCTAAAATACGGTGATTAAACTAAATAACAGTGTAAAATATGTAGGTAATACCAATGCATTCAAATAAACAAGTCAACTGATCAAAACGAATAAATAAGCCTAAAGTCAAATATTAAAAAGTATTAAGGAATGCAAATACTGCCCAGCTATGTGAACCTCCAAAACCAAATTTAGTTCAGTTTATAGAGAATTTGAAGATATTCAATAGTTGTAGTGATTCTATTTTGATGACACACATTTTTCCTGGAATATCCAAGATTTTAATTTACATCTTGAATATTCTATGAACTTCTTGGGATGTCTTTTGTATAAATAGGAAAGTCTTTCATGCATGGAGTGTTTTGAATTTGAAATCAACCAAACTTTAAAATCCATATGGAAAATGAAAAATAACTCTATATGGATGGAACAGTAGGTACGTAGCAATTTGCCTCAAACATGAATTAATTAATAATCAGCAATCAGATTTTAACACACTGCACTATTGTTAAAGTTCATGAACCATTCATTATTCAATGGAAATCAATATTAAAAAGATGACTTTTCGCAACTGAATTACAATAAATTATAATAATTATTCTTACCGTATTTCATGATGCTTTAGCTTTTATTATTGCCCAACATTCACTTAACAATGGCTATTTGTCCATGACGAATTTTAATTATTTTCTTGATTGCTCCATTGAGTTTCTATATATTTGCGTGTGTTTCTTGACTAAAATGAAAAAATAAAATAAAAATGTATCAACAAACAACCACATAAATGTATAATAAGCAACTTACCAATGGAAAAACTAGTTTTTAGATAATTGAATGTTTACTCATTATGTCGTGAACCCATCACATGAAAAATACATATAATTTATATGTATCAATAATAATAATAGCACATGCACTAAATGCATAAAACAAAGTAATATAAGCTCAAATTGATAACAATTATTATCGCCCATAAACGTTTTAACCGAGGGTTAAAAAACTGATAATTTTTCGAATCACTGGTTCATTGGTAGTTGCTATTTCAAACAAATAATAACACTGCCAGGTGGTTTCGGTAGTAGAAAAGTTGCACTTGTTACCGCACTTTAACCAAAACTCGTTTTTTTTTTTCCTATTTGCAGTGAAATGGCGCGAAAAGGAATGGGATTTCATGGTGGGAATATTGTCGATACCGATACATTATATAACAATGTGGATTAAGATTTTGCAATTTCAAGAGAGGTTAACATACTCAAATTCATTTTTAGATATGAAAAAACCACCCGATCAACCAGACCTAATTACTATTGATCTTATAATACACAAAAATCTATACATACAAGGGAGATTTGAGCTAGAGGTAAACCAATTGAATTTAAATCAAGGTTGGAAATCGTATAAAATACAACTCATTAAAAGCGCAAGTCAATAATTATTATCTGGTACCTAAGTATAACAGTGGCAGCTTGATTTAAAGTCAAATGAATGCATAATACTAAAATTCAAAATACCTACAAAAATGTAATTGTTCCGAGACGCTACTGACTTTGCATAACAGGCAAAAAACTATACTTTCATTATTTTGCAGTGGTTGAATATTGGAGCCTAATCAAGCTAGAGAAAAGCGGGTTTTGGGCTGGATTAATTAAAAAGCGATAGTTATATTACGTATTTATAGGAAAAAACACTTTTTTTTATACCTACCTTTTGTTTGGTTTAAATATTCTTGAAATATATTATGAAGTTCTTTAGTTGAAGTTTTGGGCTAACTAAAAAGAACAGGGTTCTCTTAAAAACGTCCCTAAGATGTCCACAAACGACATTCAAGACGTATTTAAAGCGTCTTAAAAAAATCTTGAAGACGTCGTATGTTACAAAACTCAATGTCTTTCAAACATATGCCTGAAGACGTCTTTAGGATTAAGACATTCTTGAGACGTCTTCAGTGAGATGTCCTATAGACGTCTTTGAATCAATACATAAACCATTATTCACTTTTAGGCCTGGTTGTACGAAATAGTTATCTCTAGGATCTGAATTTACGACATCTTATGGGCATTTTCAAAACAACGTCTTTAGACGTTTTTTTTTTTTTGATTTCCAGACGTTCAGACGTAATGCAGACCTGAATAAAGACGTCTTCAAGACTGTGTGCTATCTGGGTAGTAGATCCGGTAATGAAATTATCATGTATCTCTTATTGGAATTTCAGATTTAGAAGAGCTTGTTACAAGATTGTTAAATTTCTTCAGTTGAATTTTAGCTGTACTAGGCCTAAAAAAGATCTTTTTAAGACGCTCTGACTGAGTTTTAACACTATGGAAAGATCATAAATCAAAGTTTCATATACTTCTTTAAGTCCAATTTTGACTGTAGTAGACCCAGTGTGGTGATACACCTTTATGTTTTAATACCATATCTAAGTACGTGTATTAGTGTGTCATTCAAGATTGTGTCATCAATTATTTGTCAAGGTAATCTTATACTTAATAAGCCCTAAGAGGTATATATTTATATTTGCATTACTACAATTTAATCGACATTATGGACAAGCTCCTGAGACCTAAAAGGTTTGATACTGATCCCATCAAATACAGCGAAGAAATGGTGTCATTGGAAAAGTACATTCCAGAACTTCATGTTGTCAGTAAAGGATGTAGAGGAAGCACAAAAGCTGCAGCTGATGCTGTATCTTAGATAACATCATCTATATATAAAACCACAAAATGAAGCATTTCCAAGACATATTCTTTCTACGAGGAAACAGCAACATGGAGAAAATATGAGCCAGTACATTTAAATTTTGAATCAGCTCAGCAAAAATTGTAACTTCAAGACCGTAACTGCCAAAAAACATGGCGAACTTTCTATTAGAGATGCATTCAATAGCGGCTTATTGTCAAATGAAATTCGTCAACGCCTCTTGTAAAAAAGTAATCTAACTTTAGATGAAGCAACATCTTTTGAATCTGCTCAAAAATATTCTGAGGTATACCAAAAAGCTTCAACAAGTTTTATCAATTCTAGTAACGCGGAAAATCCTTAAGTGCAGCAACAAAGATATACTAGTTCGAGTGCTACTGAGAAATTTTCTACATGCTATTATTGTGGAAATAAAAAACATGATCGCTCTCTTTGTACTGCCCTGCATACTACATGCAAACAATGCAGTAAAAAAGGTCATTTCTCTGCTGTTTGTCGAAGTTCAAATCGTGGTACAACTGGATCTATTCTTTCTTAAACATTGGCTTCTGGAAGTTTATCAGAAACTGCGGTGCCAGTAGAAATCAATCAGTTATCGGCAGATGCGTTAATAGATACTGGCAGCTCTGAAACTTAAGGGTCATTTACATCCACTCAACATACGGAAAATTATAATTAACGTAAGAAACTGAGAAGGTGTGTGTTTACAATGAAGTTAATTTTCCTACGTGTAATCACGGATGATATTGATAATAACAGACTAGTTCAATCTGTCTGTCATTCATAATTATTATTAAAATTAACGTAAGGATTTCCTTAAGTTGAAGTTGGTTCAACTTTTCCGTGTGTTTTCTTAATTTTTAAGTGGATGTAAACAACTAAGTACATATAAATACATGATTTTCAACTTTTCTTTATTGATAATTTTCCGTACTTTAAGTTAAGTTAAGTGGATGTCAATGACTCCTTACTTGAATGATTCATTTGTTTTATCCAATAATCTCACGATTCAACTAAGTAAAGGCTAGGTGTCTATGGTTCAAACTTCTCTGCGTACAAAACAAAGGATTTTGTATTGTCAATCTCAAAATTCTTGATCATCAGTATGCAAACGTGAAAGTTTCAGTTCTACTAAATCTCTGAGTTGATATTATCGTTGGTCATGACATTTTCAAACAACATAAAATATTGACTGTTTATTTTGGAGGATGAAAATCTACCATGACTTTACTAGAAATAAAGCACTGTTCTCTAGCTCCTGCTAAAATTGAACCTCCGCAATTATTTGCTAATCTATCATTGCTACATATTCGAGAAAATTTTCACATACTGATGCCAAATTTATTTCAAGTGAAGTACAAAAGCTTCTTTCAGAAAGTATCATTGAAGAAAGTACGTCTTCCTTGCGAGCACAAGTTCTTGTGACAAAGAACGGAAATCATAAAAAGAGAATGGTTGTTGACTATTCTCAAACATTCAACAAGTTTACTTATCCTTCATATACCTAATATCGAAGGGTTGGTAAGAGCAGTCTTAAAATTTGACGTTTTTAGCACTATTGACCCAGAAAGTGCGTTTATCACCCTATAAGAAATGATGAAAAACAATTCACAACTTTTGAAGCTGATAAAAACCTGTACCAGTTTAATCGTATCCCTTTTGGTATGACTAACGGCGTACCTTGTTTTCAAAGAGTCTTAGATACAATAATCGGACAAGAGAATCTAGAAGGCCTCTACGCATATCTCGATGATATAACAATTTGTGGAAAAAATCAAGAAGAACACGATAAGAATCTATCAGCTTTTCTGACAGCTGTTGAAAAGTACCTACTACAACCTAACTATAAATAAAAAATAATTAAACTACTGGCATATCTTATAGGAAACAGAAAGCTTCACTTGCCTTCTTCAGGGCTGAAAGTAAAGGAAATACACATTAGTACTTCCTCTTTGTGTCTTGAAACATCGCTTTACAATAGCAATTAAAAGAAAAATTAACAAATTACAAAATTAGAAAGTTCACTATCATCATCCACTATTTTTAAGTTCTTCAGTTGAATTTCAGCTCCACTAGGCTCTTTCAAGCCGCTCTGACTGAATTTTAAAGGTCTATTTTCACAAAATTCACAAAGCAATCAGAGCACTTTTGCTTCGTGCAAATTGCCAACAAACAGTTTTCAACCAATGAAATACGCTCTGACTGGTTTATGATTTCTGTGAGAACAGACCTTAATTCTATATAGAAAGATCGGAAATCAAAGTCTCATACTTCTTTAGTCTAATTTTGGCTTCAGTCAAGCCGGGTCTGATGCTGATGTATTTCTAATTCAAATTTCGAATCTAGAAAAGCTGATGATAAAATTTTCAGGTTTCTCCAATTGAAGGCTCAAAAGTTATTTTTCTGAAACTGCTCTCGCCGAATTTCTACTCCAGAATGGTCAAAAACTAGAGTTTCATACTTACTTCTTTAGTTCAATTATTCAATTTCGGCTCTAGTTGATCCGTAAATGGAATTCTTATGCATTCCTAGTTCAAAGTTCAGATCTTGGAGAGATAGTACTGATGGCTGAGACTCTGTAACAAATAGAGATATTTTCTCCATCTCTATTGACGTCTCCTCTTTATTGATTTCAAGATTTTTTAAGTTTCTCTAGTTCAATCTTCGCTCTCTTAGGTTCAAAAATTACTTTTTTAAGTGTCACTCTGAATAAACTTTTCCTCCGTAGAGAGATCAAAAATCTAATTTTCAAGCCGCTTCAGCCAAACTTCAACTGCAGACTGGTCAGAAGATGTTTAGTCCAATTTTGGCTCTACATCTTTTCCAATTATTGTAAATCAGAAAACGTCAATTGAGATTCAGAATAGGTCAAATTAAATTGAGGTCAAGAAAATTCGAAAATTTTATATACAAGGTTTCACAAAGTGATACATTATATGGGGATATCGGAAACTGTAAAAGATGTTGGGTAAATAATAATAAATACCAGAATGTTTATTTATCATTAATCTCGATTGCATTTGACCTACATCTAACTGTTTCTCAATTACAATTGAAAAAGTTGTTGCAGATCCGAACATAAAATTCTCACCTATCTCTACAAAGAGTTCAAATTTCGGATTCAGGAGAATTTTAAGATTTTTGAGCTGCTCAACTTGAATTTCAACTCTACTAGGGTCAATTATTACCTTTTTAACCCGCTCTGGCTGAACTTTAACTCTAGAAAGATCAAAAATCTGATGGGTTTTATTCAATTTAGACTTTAGTTGATCCAGGGATGAGATTATTCTCATATATTTCTACTTCACATTTTAGATCTAGGATAAAATTTTCAGGTTTGTCCAGTTGAATTTCAGCTCTACTAGTCTCAAAAATTACTATTTACGTCGCTCTGGCTGAACTTTGACTCTAGAAAGATTAGAAATCTAAGCCTTGAGTCGCTCTGGCCAAACTTCAACTGTAGAATAGTCAGATACTCGATCAGATATTACAATTTCATAGTTCTTATGTCCGATTTTGGTTCTAGTATAGAGCCGAGAATGGGATTCACATGCATTTATTCTTTGGATAATAACTTAGACAGCACACGAAGTGTTAAGACGTCTTTTTTAGGTTTGCATTGCGTCTGAAGACAAAAAAGACGTCTAGAAGACGTCGATAAGATATCGTACTTTTTTTTTTCTTTATTTCAACATGATAGTTAAACAATAGATGTATGTATCGGGTGATTGTCTATATTTTGCACCCACACCTATCTCACCTGTTTGAAGAGATAAAGTTCGACAAATACCATTTTAAAGTCACGTGATATTGGTGGCAAAAAACGTATGTTCGTTGATTATGTCGTTGATATCACCTACAAAAAGCTACTGATGGTTAATTACTATTGAATTTTAAGATATGTTCCCACTGGCATGTTACAAATGCGTTTCTGAAGTAGTATTGACCAATCAGATGAGAATTTTAATACTTGCAATTGTTGCGAGACTCACTTTTGTCGCTTCTGCTGCCCCTTGTAATACATTCTCAACTTGAATTGGGTACCCGTTTTCTATTTGCATCTTTTTGAGTTGGAAAAAGGTTAATATAGTCAAAATTATTAGCTGTGTTTGTTCGTTGTATCATTTTCTAAAATAACTTTGACAAACTAATTGATGACAGTGACGGATTCAATTTCAGGTAAGAATTTTATGAACAATAATTAGACAGCAATTTTTTTGTCAATTTTACTATGACCGCTGTTTGAGATGTATTCAACCAGGATAGAGAAAAATCACGTGACTTTAAAATGGTATGTGTTGGACTATACCCAGAAATGTAAAATGTGAAAGTTGTAGGTAAATATCAGAAAGTTTTCAATGATGTTAGTTACAAGTATACTGGATGTGTCACAAAAGTGTGGCGAAGCAAAGTTATACTTTTTCAAATAGAAAACCCCATATATTATTGTCTCATTGGATTAGTCTTTCAAACCTGATTCCAAATATATTAGGTACCTACCTAGTATATTTGGAATCAAGTTTGAAAGGCTAATCCAATGGGACAATAATATACGGGGTTTTCCATCTAAAAAAGTATAACTTTGAATCGCCACACTTTTGTGACGCACCCTGTATACTTGTAACTAACATCATTGAAAACTTTCTGATATTACGATATTACCTACAACTTTCAAATTTGACATTTCTGGGTAGGTATCTCTTCAAATAGGTAAGATAAATGTGGGTGCAAAATATGGACAATCACCCGGTACCTACTTAAGCTAGCTAGAGACCCTGTGCTGGAAAGCTGAGCGGGTCATTCAGTATCATATGTAACATTATTACAATATACCATATTATTATACATTATACAATATCACACAAGAAAAAATATCCAGTAAGTACAAGTATAGGTACTGTATCACAAAGTTGTTGCATTTATGAATATATTAGTTCTAAATTGCAGATAAAGTCTTTCATTGTATACAATCTCAAAGTATCCATCGAAGATCAGCTGCTTCAGCTTTACACTTGAAGCAAGTTATGTTCAATCTTCAGCAGATTCTGGAATTCGATTTCATGATTAACAAACTCAATTTCTTTAATAATGTTAATACTTTTCTTTACTGGTAACCTACAATTATCAATTTTCATTTCAAAATACCTCATTTTTTCTTCTCTTATTATTTTAACTGCGTTGTTTCTATTGGTCCTATATATTTTTTGCTTCGCCTCACTCCTATCAGATTTATATTCCTTATAACTGGTATCGCGCATTTGTATTGCCGATTTAGTTCTATCATTCCACCATGGTTTAAATCTAGGTAAAATTTTAATTTCTTTTCTTGGCGCCACCTCATTCAAAATATTTATTATTACTTCATAAAAATTTACAAATTTTAAACTGACATCTTTTACTGAATAATCCCAATTCACCCTCGATAATTTATTTGAAATTAGGTCATAATCAAGATTACGGCCCCTAGTTTTCATAATCAATGGAATACTCTGCCGGTCTCGAAAACCTGTCACCCCCAAAGATATAAGATAGTGATCACTTATCCTAGGTACTTGCAATATTTCTGCATTTAAATTGTCAAAATTTGAAAACACTAAATCTATTATATACTACCGCCATGTGAAGAGGCTCTTGTAATTTCAAGGACTTTCTGATGCAATCCCAATTCCTCTGAGCTCTGTTTCAGCCTATTAGAATAAGTATCATTTAATAACCAGTTAATATTAAAATCGCCCATAATTATAACAGGCGTTGCGATATCACAGACAACATCATTACACCAATCCTCAAAAAAATCTAGAAAAATGGAATTACTGCTGTATCAACTGCACATAAATTGAGACAGCCCTGAAGAGGTATGGATGACAGTGAGTTCACGTAAACTAGGATGAGTGTCGGTCCCAGAATTGAATCTTGGGACACTCCGTGTACAATGTTTTCCATTTTACTTCTGTTACCTTCACATTCAACATACTGTAGTCTGCCCGATAGACAATCCCTAAACCACAGTAGTGCTTAACCTCCAATACCAGTTTTTTCAAGCACATCCAGGAGAATTTTGTGATTAACTGTATTAAAAGCTGTTCTTAAGTCCAGCGAGACAAGTACACACTATATCTCTTATTCAACGAAAATGAGAATACACACTCTAAGGAGTGCTTATCGGTCTCGTTTTTGGTAATCGCCGCCATATTGGTGTGATACCATTTCCGACATCATAACTAAATCGTCAGCTGTCTAAATAGCCTACATCAAGGCGAAAAATAACATACTGCCAACGTCACAATTGGTATTTTGGCGTGGAGGGGAAGGGGGGATTTATTACACACATCCCTTATGAGGATAGATCATTCTCTAGTAGTACCTAGGTGTATCAGCCTTGCGTATTATCAACCTTTTCATAAATATTTGTAATTAGGTCTGTAGTTGCTGAGGAGGTATTGCTGTGTTTTTTGAATCCATATTGACCCGCATACCAAAAATGTATTTCATCCAAATAACTGGTTAATCTCATATTTACACAGGTTTTTAATATCTTAGACATAACTGGGAGCAAGGAAATGGGTCTGACTGAGCCACTCGCTATTTGGTACAACCGGGCTTAAAAGTTTATGTATTAAAAAGAGATTCGAAGATGTCTTTAAGATATCTCGTTGAAGACGTCTATAGAATGTCTTGAAAAAATCTCATAAACATTTTTAGGCAATAGGCATATACGTTTGAAAGACGTTGAGCTTTGTAACATACGACGTCTTTAAGATGTCTTTAAAAAGGCCTTGAAGACGTAAGTATAGACGTCTAAAAAATATCTCGAATATTTGTAATCACCTTAGCGATGTTTTGAAAATGTCTACAAAAACACAGAATTCGTTTCTCATTCAATTTAGATGTTACTGAGAACCATTTAAAATTTTACACAATTTAACACTTTGGAACTTTAATAAGCCTTTTGGAATAGACAAAAATTAGCTGTTATAAAATGAGTAATTATAATGAAATATTAGTCCTGAAAACGTCTTCAGGCAGACGTTTGCAAGATATTGGGTTTTGTAACATACCATTTTTTCAGACGTAAAGCAGACGTCTAGAATGTCGTTTGTGAACATCTTAGGGGCGTCTTAATTTAAGATGTCTCTGTGTAGTCTAGGAAAGCTATATTTGATCCTTACTTCAAATTTCAGAATCAGAAGAGAATTGTTAATAAGATTTTCGAGCTTCTGCAGTTGAATTCCAGCCTTACTAGGCTCAAAAATTTCATTTTCAAGCCGCTTTCGCTAAGTTGCGGGCTCTAGAAGGGTCAGAAATCAGATTTTCATACTTTTCCAGTCTAGTTTAAGCTCTTGTAGAGCCGAGAATGAGATTTCTATGGTATCTATGTAAAATAAATCTTAATCAAACTATTCGTTGCACTATCAAGAAAATACACCTTGTGGATTGGTTTAATCCCCATTTTTTCAAATTATTTTAATTTGAAAAGTTTGCAAAAGAGTGAAATTTCACTTTCATCAATCTAATGGATATAAAAACAGAGAGAGGATAGTATAGAGTAATAGGATGATTAGAAATAATTAATGTAATTTGAAGTTGCAAATAAGCAGTAGCAGAGTTGAAGCCCGGTTCCTAGATTGTTAAGCCTCAAATATAAGCCAATTTTGGCCTAATCAAAGAAGTTTTATCCCTAAATTTATGCCACCAGGTCCTAGAACACTGAATTAACCCTCTAAAAGTGTTGCTAATTTGGGAACTTTCATTATTTTTCTATCATAGAAACCTAAATGTTCAAAACCAATTTCAAAATACTTCACTCCAAAAAACCTCTTATTTTCAAAATAAAATCTACTTCAATTGCTTACCTATTTGAAACTTTTGGGCATTAAAAATGGGTAAAACAGTCAAAAAAACTAAAAACCAAGCCATAATGCTCAATGAAAAATTCAAGTGTCTCGGAACTGATTTGTCATATGTTTGTACAGGCAAAAGGATTATTGAATTATTAATAATTTCTAGGGGGTTGGAATTTCAGTCAGGGACGTACAATTTTTGCTTTTCAAAGTCTTATTATTGAAGAAGTTCTAGTTTCAAACTGATTAGAAAAATGTTGGCTTCGATATTTGTATCATAAATCAAAAGTTACTTTAACTCTTCCTTGAATAAACTAGCCCTTAGAATCTATATATAGCAGGACAACAAATAATAAAACCCCTCATTATTGTGGTTATATGATGGACACGTATGGTAAATTAGGTTTGCTTAATGGACAAATCGAATTAAATTTAATGAATTTCCTGACAGTGGAGTAGACAAAACTTACAATACAAAAAAATTTATTTATAAAATTATTATTTATTGTTTTGAATTCGTTCTAAATTGTTTGCCGCCCTTTTTGCCTGCCTTCTTGCCAGACTTTTCTCCATTTGCGTGATGGCTCTTAGTAGTTTTGGAACTTTTGCGCCCTTTTTTCTCTGACTTATTGTGGCCTCCTGCTTTTTTACTGCCTTTACCATGCTTGCCTTCAGATTTCAGATTCTACAAAAAGATTTTTTGCATATATATATGTATATAAATATTTTGTACCTACCTTAAATGAGCCTCCATTGTGTTTGGTAACAGCCTCAGATCCATATTTGGCTCCTTTTTTTCCGAAAATATTATAACTACCACTTTTTTCGCCTTTATTGAAAAAACTATCATGTTTCATTAGCTCGTCTTTGTGAAACTTTTCCAAATAGCCTTTTTTGTAGTTGCCCTTGTGCCTTTTGGATGCTTCTTCGAATTTTGCTCCATGTGCGCTTTCTGCACCGCTTTTATGAAAAGATTCATGCTTATCAGCATGGAAATGCTTGTGCTTTTTGCCCCCTTTGTCCAAGTCTTCGACTCGGTGCAATTCTGAGAGTTCTGAGCCGTGTTTGCCCGACTCTTGATCGTGTTTGGACGATGTTTTGCTAGCTGAATGTTCTGATTGCGTTTTGGCTTCGTTGGCTTTTTCTTCTGAGTTTGAAGCATGTTTCTCAGTTGATTTATGCGGCTCAGATTTTGCCGCTGCCAAGGTTAAAATACCAAAAATCTGAAAGTGATTTGTAATAATAATTATTGTAAGTTTTAAGCGGATATAATTGATTTTTTGTGACAGAATTGCAACAAATATACGAATGTGATGTAAACATAAACCCAGAAAATGCGTTATTTTGAATGTAAACTATCCTAAATAGGTTGAGTCTTACTTAAGGTGAGAAAAATATCAGTTTTCTAACATTTGAAGATAAATTCTTTTAAAAAAAACTATCAAATTCTTACCAAAATCACGTAAATTTTCATGATTTCGTCTTGTAGTTTCACGATCACTGGTCACTGAAGCACTACTAAATGAAAAAAGGTACCATAGGAAGGGGCATAGTACCGAAGCAGGTAGAAGACAAGTCAATGGTTTTTTTTTTTTACTTGTTTGGGTTTACTTTTAGATGAGAGAAAGGGAACCTGACTCTAATAAGATGAGATTCCAAAGGAAAAAATTAGAAAATGCTATGCACTGGTTTGAAGTTAACGGTTCTTATGAATGGTAAATTGTATAGGATGAGATGTAGAGTTTGTTCACATCTACGCTTGCTATGGTATGGTTATTTATAAAAGAATATTTTGAAAAATAAAATCGCCCGCCAGTTGATTGGAGAAACATCTCTAAATATTTACTTTATTAACTCTATAAAATCTAATAATAAGTTTGTTCAATTACTGTGACGTCAGAGCTTACAAATCTATGAATTTCTTATAGATAGATTAGTTTTCGGTTCATATAAATCCAATTCAACATGGAAAAAATTGCCATTTATTTTCTGAGTACCTAATCATTTTCAGGTAGAATCTTCACTGATAAGTTCAACTGCTAATTTCTATATCAGAACGACTCGTTAATGAGCTAATTGCTGCGGAACTCGCTCTTCCTGAGGTAGGTTCTATTATTCTTTCTCTTAGCATGGAGTTGTTCCCCATACAATGGTGTCCTCAACCCCTTTATGCATGAGAGATCTGGTTATTGAGTCGAAGGAAGTGTTGTCACAAACTCTCTCATATGCCAAAAGAAGTCCAGCCCTGTTTTCCAATGTTGTCTCGTATATGCTGATCAGCTAGTGATGCGCTGTTTCTGTTAACATCCCTGTCTGATATGCGATATGCATAGTGGGTCTTGGTGTAGTGGTCGGTTTGCCAACACACCGTCCCTGATATACCTATCCACAAGATTTTCCATTATCTGAACCTCAAATGATGTAAGACTAATGGGTCTTACGGACTTTACCTTATCCTGTTCTATTTTTCCAAGCTTTGGTATGAACGTTACCCTGATGTGCCTCCAAATTTTTAGTATATACAGGCTACTTCTTAGAATGTTGCATAGTATCCTGTGTTAGTTCAGTTCCGTTTTGCAACATTATCGGATAGATTTTATTTGTCCCTGTTGACTTTTCTAAGGTGTTCATAGCTCATTTGACTTTCCAATAGTTGACTACTTTCTTAGAGGTCAGCCAGTCGTTCCTCGACGCTCTGTGAGACCTAGAGTCCATATCTACTGAGTCTGATCAACAATCTTTGAGCCGGAAAAGTTGTTTTTTTAAGAGTTTCCTAATCGTCTTTTTGTTGTAGGTGGTTGTATTCACCAAGGCCATCAGAAAGGCGTGATACACGATGATATACAAAATTCAGCCAATTCTGACATAAACAACATTTCCGTATACTTTGGGCAGGGTCCTTTGCAAGGTTCTTGTTCCATCAGGGCACGTTCCTGGTGGATTTCCTTGTTTTAAGTGGGCAGTTCTCATTAAAGGCTGAGATGATTGCATCATTGAATTGATTCACAACCATATCTCCAAATCTTCAGTGTTTATTCCCTTCCTGATGTTGGGAAAACTATATTCTAAGTCAGCTTTGTATGCGTCCCAGTCCATCTTTCGAGGGGTTCCGATAAGTTAATGAAAATGTTCCCCTTGAAATTTCAAATTTGATGTACTTATGTGTGATCTGAGCAACTTGCCTCATCAGGATACATTACAGTTTGTGACGTGATTACTCGTATGGTTTAAGACTAGTGTCAGAACAGTCACCTCCTTTCTAGTTGAATTAACAAAGGTAAGTTTATTTCGTACATTCCATTATAGGTATCTAAATTGTTTGTTATAATATTGTAGTAAAGATTCACTTCTACCGTTGACGTTGGTACTTCCTCAAACTTTGGTGAGTATATGTGCATCGCAGCCGATAAGCTGCTGGGTCCCATTTATGGTTGGTGTTGACTCAGCGTCATCTTAGGGCCTATCGGGATCTGGTATTAGGGTGAAAAAATAGCAATTGCTTGTCGTAATTTGTTCTGAAAATATGAATCTGTCAGCACGAGCAGATTTTGAGATACGATTTTTTTGATATCTTCACTTCACCCCTCTGACGGCCTATCGGAATCTGGTGTTGAGGCAAAAAAATAGCAAATGCTTCTCATAATTTGTCCTGAAAATATGAATCTGTCAGTACGAGCAGATTTTAGGATACGATATTTTCTTATACTGGGTGGGGCACGAAAAAATTTCCACCCAGGTTTTCTCAGGTGCTAGGTATTTAATCAAAAATCGCTCAGACACATTTTATTGGTATTTTCAGCCCCTACCTGTGAACGCCTAAGTGGGGGTAACAGCTACCCTCAAAATTTCAAATGGAAAGAGTGGTCGAGCGATATGTCATTTGGTAGCTATATTCATTAAGATTATATCCCCGAAGTTTTAAGTTGCTACTATTAATCCTGCCGAAATGGCGGCATGTCAAAGTTAGGATAAAAGCTTTTTTTCGATTATCTAAACTGTATCTATAGTTTTTACCTGTCACACCTATGCGTAGGTAACAGGTAAAAACCACACAGCATTTTTCCATAACTTTGATAAGCCGCCATTTCGACAAGGTAAATAGTAGCAACTTGAAACTTTGGGGATATAATCTTAATGAAAATAGCTATCAAATGACGTATCACTCGACCCCCCTTTTCATTTAAAATGTTGTGGGTACCTACCTGTCACCCCCACTTAGGGGTTCACAGGTAGGGGGTGAACAGGCCAATAAAATGTGTCCCCCAAAAAACAAAAATTGACGTGTCTGAGCTATTTTTGATTACACACCTAACACCTGAGAAAACCTGGGTGGAAAGTTTTTCGTGCCCCACCCGGTATTTCCGACGCCACTGGCCGTTCGGCAGTTTCCGGAAGTTTTGGAGGTTATCTTGAGAAGCTAATTTCACACCGGTTTTAAATAGGTGGTTTTTCTCATACTATTTTTCAATTTGTCAAGTTAGAATCTTTATTCTTTCCAGTTGCCTAATGTGCGGAAGGCCTAACTGTCTACAAGATAAATTTGCCATAATTTCTTATCCTATTGGTCTGCAGATAACTGGCCATTGACCAACCAATAGGATTATGTATAGATTGCAAGTTTATCCGTCAGATTGCATTACCTGACAGTTTATCAGAAGGTGAATAAACCAGGCCTTCCACTTTACACTATTAAATTAAGTTAACGAGCATTAGAAAGATATTCGATTATTTATTTTATGATATTTGCTGTGGGTACCGGTTAAGCCGAAATGTCATCAACTTTTTTTGCAATCCAGAAACTATTTTTTCTTGACGTTAAAACAGAGGTATAACTATGAAGTGTAAATTTTGTGTCATATCTCTCAAACGGTACCTACCTCGGAAAAAAAACTTCCGGCACGCCAATGAAATTTACGTAAAAGCTGCGTCAGATACAATGTTTACCTATTTGATATCTTTTTTCATACGCTGAATATTACTACAAGATCACTACCCTCGAAAAGTGAATATTTCAAGTTTCATCCTGTATCTTCAAAACGAAATAAGATAGAGACCTGCGGTTTTCGACATTCGATTCGTCACAATAGGGAACTTGCACATTAAATTAAATATGAAATAAATAATAAAATACAATAACAATCATCAATTGAAAATACCAAATAATTCGAAATTCTTGACGAGATCAAAAACGTATTTCTATGGGTCCTGACGTCAAAGGGCAGTAATAATCGGGTCGCACCGCTGCCACGCCATGTGCTGCTGGTGTTGTCAATGTCAAATCTATCATAAACGGCATAGATAACAACATAACCATAATCTAAATCTACCTGCTCGAAGGTCACTGTCAACCAAGGACTGTGAATGGAATTTTGTTGCTGAGTGACGTCACACTAATCGGTCGTTTCAAATGGCGATGTTTCGAGCGTAACTTCAAATATTCATAAAAAATTAACGGCTGATTTTTAATGCTTGATATTTGGCATGACTATGTCTTTAGAGTAGTACAACACATTTTTGAAATAAAAAAAAAAAGTGCAAGTTCCCTATTGGCCCGGGAATGTGGAATCAAAAAAATCTACCTTTACGAGTTTAGCAGATAATCCCAATTCCCATCTTCAATGGGACACCCATACAGGCCGTACATACCTACTTCAATAAGCTAGTACCAGCAGTATAGGTGACAACTTATTTATAGGATTATTCTTAATGAACCAAAAGTGTGGAGGATCCACTGAGATGAGACGCATACAAAGCTGACCTGGTGAACATCAGGAAAACAAGAGACACGGAAAATTTGTAGATGGTTGTGAATCAATTCAATGCTGCAATCATCTCAATGAGAACTGATCTCAGGAACTGATATAACAAGGAAATCTACCGAAACGTGCCTGGTGCAATGAGAACCTCACAAATTTAAGGAGAAAAGCTCGAATAGAATTCAGCAAAGCCCAAAAAACCGGCCAGTGGGAATAGTGGGATACCTACATATAAAATCACGTTGGACAAGTTCAAGATAAGAAAGAGCTGAGAGGATCCAAGAGGAGGTTTTGGAGGAAATACTGTAAGGATATAGGAAGTACTCAAGATCCAGACTCAGTGGACATGGGATGAGCCTAGATCTCGAAGAGCGTCTAGGAACGACTGGCTGATCTCGAAGAAACTAGTCTACTATGAAAAAGTAAAATGGGCTATAAACACCTTTGACAAGTCAACAGGGACAAATAGGATCTATCCCATAATGTTGCAGAACAGAACTGAATTAGCACACAGGATATACTGTAATATTCTAAAAAATAGCCTAGCCTCTTTGGCTTTATAGTAAAGACTTAGAGGCACATTAGGGTAACGTTCATACCAAAGCCTGGAAAAATAGGAAATGCCAGCAAAGTGGAAGAAAGAATTATTATAAACAGAGACATACAAGACACGGTCTCCCATCTTCATCTACTGCCAGACGAATAGATGGGCTTCAGAGCACAACATAGCACAGCCCACTTAGTCCACACAATACATAAGGGAGCAAACCGAAGAATGGAGACAGGAGCAGTCCTCCTACACATTTCAAAAGAAAATGTGGCACCAGAGCCTCATTCTAAAAATGCTCAGATTCAACATGCCGCTATACTTAGTTCAACAATCATAGCATTCCTATCTGTGTCAGTCTGGACCGGCACACCGCACACCATGTCAAATCCATTACCAGAAAAGTTTTTGCCGAAGTTCTTCAAGGCTTTCTGCTCAGTCCTCTACTTTTCAGTTTGTT